TGAAGATCAAATGAGTTTGTGGAAATCCTCTGCCTTCAGTAAAAGGTTAGACAAACACTGCTGCTGCTGCCAAGTCGCTTCAGTCGTGTCCAACTCTGTGCGACCCCAGAGATGGCAGCCCACCAGGCTCCCCCGTCCCTGGGATTCTCCAGGTAAGAACACTGGAGTGGGTCACCATTTCCTTCTCCAATGTGTGAAAGTGAAAAGTGAAAGTGAAGTCGCTCAGTCGTGTCCGACTCTTAGCGACCCCATGGACTGCAGTCTACCAGGCTCCTCTGTCCATGGGCTTTTCCAGGCAAGAGTACTGGAGTGGGGTGCCATTGCCTTCTCCCAGATGTTGTTACAATAAATGTTGGGTTTGAAATGTTTCTAAAAAGTAGTACTGGGCATTCTCTGGTGGTCCAGTAGTTAAGACTTGGTCCTTTCACTTCTGGGGCCCAGATTTGATCCCTGGTTGGAGAACTAAGATCCTGCAAGCCACTGGGTGTGGCTAAAAAAAGAAAAAAGCAGTACTGGCCTGACTTTATCCAATATGTATTACAACTTTAAGGCCAATCTGTATGAGATGACAATATAGATACAGGCCTTGGGTGTTCAAAGAAAGAGGGATGAAAAGGAACAATTTTGGCACATTTACTCCAAATATTCCTTAGGATTATGCATTTTTCATGTTTAGGTTTAAACCTAAACCTTTAAAAATTTTTTTTTTTTTAATTTTATGTATTTATTTGGCTGCACTAGGTCTTAGTTGTGGCATGGGGGATCTTTACTTGTGGCATGCTAACTTAGTTGCTGTATGTGGGATCTAGTTCCCAGACCAGGGATCAAACCTGGGCTGCCTGCATTATGAGTGCAGACTCTTAGTCATTAGACCACCAGGGAAGTCCTTAAGACTACTTTCTTCAGTTTTGTTTTGATGAATGAAAGTTTCAGTGATACCAATAGACACTCAACTTGGTTTTTGACCACACAGCATGCAGTATCTTAATTCTGCTATGATGAGGGATCAATTTTGCACCCCTTGTACTGGAAGTGCTCAGTCTTAACCACTGGAATGCCAGGGAAGACCCAACAGTTGATTCTTGGGAATTATATGGCAATGGCATCATCTGAGCAAATCAGAAAAGAAAGACAAAGTAGTAATATCTTATTTTTAAGCATCTACAGGGAATTTTCAAAGGGGATTTTGTCAGTGAGTTCTCCTAGGAGTAGGAGGAAGGGTTTTGCCTTCAGATAAGAAAATAAGGTAAAGAAACAATGTTATCATACAGGGAGATGTGGCAAAGGGACAATTTAGCTGACATCAGAAGTGGTCTCTTCCCTCCCCTAGGGACATCCTGATTACAGGATTTGTAAGATTAAGCATATTTTCACTTTGTGTTGAATTTATATCAGTAATTCATTTCTCAGGTGGTTTTTTTTTTTTTTTTGCCATTGCAGTGCAGCATGTAGAACCCTAGTTCCACCACCACGGATGAAACCTTGGCCCCTTGCATTGGAAGGACCAAGTCTTAACCTTTGGACTACCAGCAAAGTTCCTCATTTCTCAGTTTTGAAATGTGACTCCACCATCTTAAAAAGTGCAAAAAGAAGGCATTATTTGTGTTCAAAGTGCTTCATTTGGTGAATGGCAGTGAAGATTTATTATTCCTTGAATTCCAAAGCGCTTAATGGATCTATGTCAGAACACTTAGATTGTGTGACTCTCTCTGTAAAGTCCAGATTAAGACTTGTTGGAAGACAGGGACTTGGTTCAGTCATCTTCACACGTTTGTCTCATCCTGCTTCAGATTAGTTGCCACGTGTGTAGAATACAGTAAATTACATTAGCAAACTGGTGGCTATTCCCACTTGTTCTCTCTGCGGTATGCAAACTTTTAATCTCCACTAAGCGGTCAGTAAATTCATGTCAAAGAAATGGATGATATTCATAGGGTAATATGATAATACCTTAACTGTCCACCGCACGGGCATCCAGAACTCTATCTTTGAGCCCAAGAGAGAGGCTGCTGGTTCTATCCCCAAAGTGCCATGCGCCCCAGGTAACAAGCCCTGAAGCTACCACAGCATTGCCTTCCACTCTGAGACCTCAGCATCCAATCCTCGCGTCATTCTCTTCCATCTCCCTCTTTGCAGTTTGCACAAGCTTTGGTATATTTTAGATATTCATAAAATTTGTCATTTAATAGTCTAATCAGAATTTTTCATATCTCGGTTGGCGACCCCTGCCCAGTAGGAAGAAGACCCTAGAGAAAGCGAGGGGGTGCACGTGAGACACTGATACCTAAATTGGCAAAACCCGGTCACTTCCCCGAGCCAGCAAGCCTTCTAGTGGGAGGAGGAATTGGAAGACGAAGGCCCCACGTGACCGCGGGGGCCCGAGGCTGAGCCGACCCCGCCCCTCCTCCCTTTTCTGCCGCGGCCGCCGCTGCCGCCGCTGCCGCCGCCTCCGGGGGGCGCATGCGCAGGCCATGTTAGTGATGGAGGAGAGAAGATGGCGGAAGCGGAGTGAGTGACTTGCTGGTGACTGATGTCGTAACTGGGGGGCGAGAGGGGGTAGCGACAAGTCCCCCCAAGGGGAAAGCTCAGGGCTCTTTCGCGAGCAGTGCGGGGAAAGGGGGACGCGAGAGCTTCCTTATCGTGGAGGAGCCTGCTTGGCCCTTGTGGGGGGACGGAGCCGAACTGTAAGGGTCCAGTTACCTCCAGGCGGGAGCGCCCCTTCCGCCGTCTGGTCCCGGATCTGCGGGGCCCTGTGCGCAGGATCCCTTCTCGGCCCCCTACCGCCGGGGTCTTCCGGAAGATGAGCCCGGGTGGGCCCCTGAGAGGTTGTCGTCCCTTCAAGTGGGCCCCGCGGGCGGCGTTGGGACGGCCGCCCGCACCGGGGGCCAGCGGAGGCTGGGTAAGGCTGGGCGGGCACTACCAGGCCTCCTTCACGCTCGCCTCCTTCCCGCCCCGGCGCCACCCCACTGCGCCTCAGTGGGAGAGCCCGAGACGTGGGGCTGCTCACTCCCTCCCCGCAGGCTCGGAGGAGGGGTCTCAGCGGCGGGGGCGATGGCGCGTTTGGCGAGGCTGAGAACACCCTGGTAGGAAAGATCTTTCTTTCCCTCGGGTCCCTGGCAGCAGTGTCGTTGCCGCCCTAGAGGGCCACATTCTTGTGTGGCGGTGTGATGGTATGCTTAGTTAGCGACTCAAACTTAAGTGTTTCCTGGGTAGGCCGCTTGTGCAGCGGAACTGCCGTTTGTGTTTTGCAGGCAATATACAAGGCTAGTCGGTGGAGTTAGCAAAATTGTTCTTTTGTGCCAGGTCTCCAGATGCAGTTTAATGATTTGGCCAGTTCTACCCACCGATGTTTAGACTTGTGTCTAGATTTTGGATTCTCTGTGACCATATTTAGTTACTGAACCGCTTACTGCAGGGTTTGAGGAGATGGTTGAGCAGAACAGCACTGTACAAGGACCAGAATTAAAGCTGGCTTTTTGCATATCATTGATGCGTGGTTCAGAAGTGTTATGACAGGTAGCAGTTTGGTAAAAAGTTTATCTACCACCGTATCTGTATGATGTTGAATTGTTAACATATGCTGCTGTGATTTGATGACTGGAAAGGAGTTTGCAAAACTAACAAACCGCTCCCCAACCCCCCCCCCACCCCCGCCAATAAAAACCCCAGAGAAGTCTAAAGGTGTGTGAGTCATTTATTAATCAAAAAGATCAGTAAGAGTTGGCTCCCCACTTTTTTTTCTGAATCACATTTCCTCCTATAAATCGGGCTTTTAAAAACATTTGATTCCTCACAGGGCAATCATACTCTTATGATTATACATATAATTACTGTTTACATATGTGATATAAAAAACAAAATTTGTAGGTAAAAGGACACTATTTGGGAATAGTGCACGCATACACAGTTAGTGCCAAATTCCTTTTGTCTTTTCCTGAAGTAGAAAGTGTTACCTTGTCATTACTGCTCATGTGAGGTGGGTCGTATTATGTTTCTTGGAAGAAAAGATAAGAAAGGCAGAGAAAACTAGTATATTCTTAAGCTTGCTTTTTGTGGCGCATTTCTATCCCTACAATAAATGTTATAGTTCTAGTTTCTAACAACATTAAGGCACTCAGAATTGACTTAATATGTTGTTTGAATTTATTAAAATAAAAATACTGTATTTGTACCATAACAGTGAAATGAGTTTGTAATGTTTGAGGGAAGATAATCAGAATGGTATAAAACTGCACTTTATGCATAAGGAAAGTGACATAGTTCTGCTATTTTCAAAATTTGGAGTTGTATTTTGTGAAAAAGATTTTTGTTAGCAAGTGGGGAAATTGTTTTCAGCTGCTTCTCTTATTTACCCAGAGTAATCTGCTTATGAGTATTACTCAGAGTTATTAGATGTGGTAAGGACAGAATTGTAGCGTAATTAGAAGGAAAGCAGTGTGAGTTAATAAATTATTTTTTAACTTTCCTAGTATTTTTAAATAAAGTACACATGTAACCAAGAATTGAGTTAATTGCCTAAGCTAAATGAAGCTAGCACAAGTCCACAGGCATCCTTTTTTAATGTCTACATAAGAATGATTTTAATTTGTAATTAGTATGGTCAAAAGAATATAAAGAAGTATTTTAATACTCTGATATTGCTTAAGTTTTAATTTTCCTAGGTAGTGTTCTGTCATCACCTGTTTTGGTTTCAAGACATTCATCTTCCTTCAACAATAAAAAGGTAAACTTTAGGCCAGGCTTTATCTGAGTTCTGTATCCGCAGTCCTCTGGATTCAAATTTAATAGATATGAATTGTTAATTATGCTTTATCTTTGTAGAGTATTTTTCCCTTTCACGTGTTTATGGTGACTGTATGCTATCTGTATTTTATGAGGTTCTTAGAAAATTTAGACTGTTGTGATTATTTCTTGGAATAATTATTCTGTAAACAGTGTAACGCTTTTGCCAATACAAATCCTCTGTGCTGTCTGCCAGATTTAAGGACCACGGTACAGCTATGGATAGTGAACCAAACCCTGGGACGTCTTCGGTGTCGACGACAACCAGTAGCACCACCACCACCACCATCACTACTTCCTCCTCTCGAATGCAGCAGCCACAGATTTCTGTCTATAGTGGCTCAGACCGACATGCTGTGCAGGTATTTCAGTCAGCGGGATGGGTAGGCTAAGACTTAGGAGCCATTACTTTTTTTTTTTTTACTGTTGGTTTTTTTTTTTGTTCTTGTTGTTGTTTTCCATTTATTTTTATTAGTTGGAGGCTAATTACTTTACATCATTGCAGTGGGTTTTGTCATACATTGAAATGAATTAGCCATGGATTTACATGTATTCCCCATCCCGGTCCCCCCTCCCACCTCCCTCTCCACCCGCTCCCTCTGGGTCTTCCCAGTGCACCAGGCCTGAGCACTTGTCTCATGCACCCAACCTGGGCTGGTGATCTGTTTCACCCTAGATAATATACATGTTTCGATGCTGTTCTCTTGAAACATCCCACCCTCGCCTTCTCCCAGAGTCCACAAGTCTGTTCTATACATCGGAGTCTCTTTTTCAGTTTTGCACATAGGGTTATCGTTACCATCTTTCTAAATTCCATATATATGTGTTAGTATACTGTAATGGTCTTTATCTTTCTGGCTTACTTCGCTCTGTATAATGGGCTCCAGTTTCATCCATCTCATTAGAACTGATTCAAATGAATTCTTTTTAATGAGGAGCCATTACTTTTTGCGTAAGCCAGGTAAATGTATTGTTTGATATCCTCAAATGAGTTACATGCTAACCCTCTAAATGAGTACAGTTAGAATTGTTAACGTTTGGAACTACCAACAGAGTTATATAATAATCATTCAATGTCGGCCTATTGGGAGGGCCTACATTTGTCAGCATGTAGCTTCACAAACAATGTCAGGAAAATTATAATTGGAAGGTCCCTGGGTGCTGCTGTAAGTGGGGAAACTCAACCAAGAGCCCCAACATGAATGGCTTTAGGTTTTTCTGGATTATTGTGTATTTGAATCCAAAATTTGGGCTTAGGATCTATTCAGCTCCGTAGATAAGAGGTTTGTTTTAAACCCAAGACCCTAAGCAAGAGGATCCATTAGGAGCTATCAGGGCAGAGGAGAAAGGGAATATTTGATTAGGAAAAGTCTTAGGCTGTTCACTTAGTTGAGAAAGTAAAGTTTAGCTGGTTAACCTTTGTAGGGAAAGAGCAAATTAGCAAAGATGGTGGTGGTCAGGCTCTCTCGCCCCATGGTCTCTTGCTGTCGTCCCATGTTTTGTAAATAGTTATGTAACAGCTGAGATCACTTACAGCACTGCACGTGTGTGTCACAACGTACCCCCTTGACCACGGGCCACTTTTGTTCTGTAAACCTATATAAGCTCCACCTGAAAAGCCCTTGTTGGCAGCATTATGGCCATGTCCTCTGGGTCAACCACAAGAGAATACAGCGTGTCTACTGGTATGGCTTCTACGCCAGTCAGGAGAGAAGAAACGTGTCTGCAGTTCTTTTGGCTCCTTGCATCTTCTTCCAGCTTCCCTGCTCGCTCCTTGCCTACCCTGGCTTCAGCAAACAGTGAGATACAGCAAGGCAGCCTTTATAGTAATGGAGGTTGAGGCAATATGGTATTGCATGAAAAAAGCATGGACATTGCAGGCTGATGCAGTTTTTGTTGGAATTCCATTTTCTTTACTGTTAGTAGCTATGTAGCCTTGAGTGAGAGGCATAATCTCCTTGAGCCTCAGGAAACTATAAGATGAGAATGAGACCACCTGCTTAATTAGTTATGAGGATTAGACAAAGGATCTAGAATTTTGTGGGGCACATTATATACTCAGTAAATGATAATAGCTAATACATACTGAATAATTATGTGCCAAGTATTTGATAAATGCTTTACATGGATTATCTCCATTCAACAGATGGAAAAATTGATGTTTTAAATTGGCTAAGTAACTTTCCTAAACTCACATACCTGGTTGGTACTCTTGACTTTAGAGTTGTACCCTTAAACACTGAGTTTTTTTCCCGTTACACCTTTTTTTCTTTCTCAAATCTGCATAATTGCACTCCACCCTGAAAAAAACAGACCTGGTTTAGTCATCTCTCTGATCCATTTTTCTAGAGTGCAGATCCCAGTATACTGACTGTCTAGCTGTTATATGGCTTAGTATTCTGAAATTACTGTGGAAAAGAATCAGGATTGTTGGAATCGTCCGTCAGTTCAGTAGAAATTCAGACTGGAACATAGAGTGTTTTTAATATTTTTCACCTTTCTCTGAGGCAAGGGAAACAGGGAAGAGTATCTAGATCCTTGAGCATAAAGATAATATGATATTTTAAATACCATTTTGTTGCCCACCTATTTTCTAAGCTGGATGTGTTAATAAAAAAAGTTACTTGAGATTTGAAGTTGAAGATAATATCTCACGAATAGTACTAACTCTAATTCTTATAAGATCATAGAATTGCTTCCCTTAAAATATAGTCAAATCAATATTTATTAAACTACCTAAGTAGTTTAATACCTTCCAGCTTTTCTTTTTTTTTCCACCCCTGTGAATCCTTTTCATCTTCCTTGCTCCAGAGGAACAAAATAAGAGCAATGTGCTGTATCTTTAACTTGTATTTAAAGAGTCTCTCATCCATGAGTATGGCACTGAATAGTAATGAAAAATTGTGCTGACAATAGAAAAAATAAGTATATTGAAATAGGTTATTCATTTTTAATTTCAGTTTGATTTTAGAGTTTTGTTATGGAATTAGAGCAACATATACAGATTACCTAACCAAAAAGATATATTGTTGTGATTCTAAAGCACTTAATGCTGGTCTGTACTCCCCTGCAACTGGGGGTCAAAAGCCTGTATTTTGTGACAGGAATCTGCAGCAGGTGTAGCAGTCTGTTGGCGAATTGCGACATGAATACAGGAAGGTAAAAAATGCAAGGAAACATGCTTTCTTGGAATTTGAATAAAGACATTCATAGCTTTGTGATAAAGGTATCCTGACTCAGAAGCTCAAACTATAGGATTATGTCTCTTTTTCTCCATTAGCTCTTTGAAAACTCTGGTTTGATACTGGGATTTAGGGTGCTGTTTGAGAGTACCCATGGGCATGACATGACTTTGGGATGTGATTGCAGAGGACTGGTGTAGTCCAGTGTACCATTTGCACAGATAAAGGATTTTTCTCTTTTATTAGAACTCTTGACTGTTTCACATTTATTAATTTATAAAGTTTGGGTTCCGAGTTTTCATTTTACTAATAAATAGTCACAGTAATGAACACTTATAAGGATTTTTTTAGTAAGAATAATTTTATTTTGTGTTGAAACAATTGCACCTGACATTTAAAAAACATGAGTGGTTACTTAGTAATTTTCTAAAAAAAAAAAGGCTTTATAATTTTATGTGGTTATTACTATAATGAAGCTAAGTTTTTTCAGACATTTAGAAAAAAATACAAATGAGAATCAGGTAAAAATCACTTCTAGCTACCTATCAGTAGTCTTTAAATGTTTTCTTGAATATTCTTTAAAATATTTTAATATAAATGGTATCTTACTCTATACACTATTAAGTGAACTTTTTCCACCTAATGATATATTTGGAAACTATTTTGTTGATAGTTGTTATCTGCTCTGTTCAATATAGTAGCTGTGAGTTGCATGTGGCTATTTTATATTTAAATTAAAATTCAGTAAAATTAAAAACTTAGTTCCTTGGTTGCACTAGTCTGTTTGTAAGTGCTTAGTAGATACTTAGGGTTAGTGGCTGCTGTATTGGACAGCACTGATCTGTTATACATTACTGTTTGTAATACATGCAGGGTATACATATTCTTTTTATACCCTAATTGGGAATTCTAACAAGTTGTATCCAAAATGGGTATTCCAGTTTATATTGTTACTAACAGTGTATGAGCGTATCTGTTTCTCCAGTAGTAGTAGTAGTCTTTTAAATGTTTATCCATCAGAAGGTTGAAAAAGTGTTTTAATTTGTAAGTTTTGACTACTAATGAGATTGAAGATCTTTCCAAATGCTTACTTAGCCCTTTTTCCTTTTGTGAATTGCCTCTACTGGGTAACTTTATTTATTTTTTTTTTATTTTTATTTTTTTTTAATTTTTATTTTTATTTATTTATTTTTTTATCACAACCATAGTGTATCTTTTTTTTTTTTTCACATGTATTCCCCATCCCGGTCCCCCCTCCCACCTCCCTCTCCACCCAATCCCTCTGGGTCTTCCCAGTGCACCAGGCCCGAGCACTTGTCTCATGCACCCAACCTGGGCTGGTGAACTGTTTCACCCTAGATAATATACGTGTTTCAATGCTGTTCTCTTGAAACATCTCTACTGGGTAACTTTAATCTGTACAGATCGGTGAATCCTAGTGATGTATAACTAGGAGAGAACTGTTAATAAATGTGAGGACATTGAATATTAAAGGAGTGAAATTTTAAATTTCTAATACTTTATGGTTACTTTTACTTTTTTAATTTCTAATACAGCTTTTCTAATACTCTCTAGTTAAGACTCTGGCTTGACGTTGGTTCCCTTGACTCATCGCAGGTAATTCAGCAGGCGCTGCATCGCCCTCCCAGCTCTGCGGCGCAGTATCTGCAGCAGATGTACGCCGCGCAGCAGCAGCACCTGATGCTGCACACGGCGGCCCTCCAGCAGCAGCACCTAAGCAGCTCCCAGCTTCAGAGCCTTGCTGCCGTTCAGGTGAGGCTAAGACGAATTAAGCACTTACAAAGCCAGTGTTGACATTGCCTGCAGGCCGTTACTGAAAATAAATACACTGGGTATTATTGCAGAGTTTTCAGATGTCCTGTGTTTTTTTTTTCTTAAGAAAATATAATAGGCTGCAAAATAAAAGTTAGTTTAAAAAAATGAATGTTGACTGTGTTACTCTGTTGCTGAGTTTTGTCCCTTTGCTTTTTATCTACCTTGCAGAAATGCTGTACCAGTCTTGTGTGTGTAAAATTCTAGGGATGACAGTGAATAGTTAAGGTTACATAAATCTTATTTACATTTTAACCAAAAAAGGTTTTTTTAAAATTACATAAGTAATTACACTCATTAAAAACAACCAGTATAAAATCATTCCTAAGAGGTAAAGTATAGAGGTGTTCCTTTTGCACACCCACTGGTATTTTCCACTCTTCAGAGGTGGCGACTATTTAATATGCATCCCTCCAGAAATGTTCTGTATAAAAATATGTATGTGCACTTTTCTAAAATCCAGTCATGTGATTCTTATTGCTATCAGGATGATTTTATGATTAAATGTTTATGTTTTTAAACAGATCTTCATTATTATTGCTTTGTTTATTTAAATAAAACTCTAATGCAAGATTTAAATCTCGTCACCAGAGTAGGGTCTCAAGTTGACTAAACCTGAAAAAGGTTTATTTCTGTTAAACACATCCCAGCTGTTACTTCTTCTCAGTAGTGTAATTTTAAATAACATCTTGTTCATGATAGTTAGGAAACTGAAACCCAGTGGCATTTGATATAGCTCCAATTTATTTTTCATAACATTGGATTGGTAATTTCACTTCAAAGAAGAGATCTATAGAGGAAAACTGACAATGGGTACAGCTCTTAAAATAAGATGAGCCTTTGGGTCTTCTGTTTTCACCATGCAGTTATTTTTTTTTTTTCTTAATTTGTTTGACATGTGGACTGTAAAATAGATGTTTTGAATTTTATTGTGATTTTTGTGGTATCCTGGTATAAGAAAGTTTTAAACTTCAGACTTTTTATAGACATAAAGATCTTATTATTTTAGGCAAGCTTGTCCAGTGGAAGACCACCTACATCCCCCACAGGGAGTGTCACACAACAGTCAAGTATGTCTCAGACATCTGTAAGTGCTCTAATTTTTTTCCTGGCTTTAAAATTTTAGATTATTGCTTTCCACAAGTGAACTGTTAAAATCTACAAAACTGTTACTGTTCATCTGTTGAGTACTGTTTAAGTAACAAGTGACTAGAAACAGGAATGGTAAATTTCGAGAATTTGGAACTAATGTCAAACTTCTGAAAATCTGAGTCATAAAAATATTTTTGCATGATTTCTTATGCATGTTTTCCCCTTGATTGTGTTCAGATCTTCTGTGATTGGGAATGGTTGCAGTTTTCAGTGTGCGTTGGAAGCGTGGAATATATAATGCAGGGAAGTTCAGTCGTGCATTTACTGTGACAAGTGCTAGAGAATGTCATGTCCTTGGTAGACATCTAAGTGTTTCTAGCTTTTTCTGTGCAGGTCACATTTTAGAAATTTTACTTCCCAGCTTATGCTTACTTGAGTTACCTGGGTCAAATTTATAAGTATAAATTTACCGTTCAAGATAGTGTAATTTATTTTGAGACGAGAATAAAAGGTGATTTACTACATTGCACATATTTACTGGGAAATTGTGCAAAGTATTCCAGTTAAAAAGAAATTTACAGGTGTGGTAATACTTGTTTACCCTTTTATTTTGATGTAATTTCAAATTGCAAGAATAATAAAAATTTCTGTATACTCTTTACTCAGATTCACCAATTGTTAGCATTTTGGCTCACTGTTTTATCATTCATTCTTTCTGTCTACATATATACAGTTACCTTTTTCTGAGCCATTTGTGGATAAGTTGAGACATGTTCCTTTACTCCTAAATACTTTGATATGTACTTCCTAGGAACAAAGTCATTCTTTTATGAAGCCACATGAAACAGGTCAAATTCAGGAAATTTAACACTGATAACCTGTTGTTCATATTCATATTTCATCAGTTCTCCCAGATTTCTCAGCCTTATCCCTATAGACCTTATGGACCAGATAATTCTTTTTTACGGGGGGCTGTCCTGTGCTGTGTAGGGTGTTTAGCAGCATCCCTAGCTTGGATAGCAGTAGCTCTGCCCTTCTCCTTTCCCCAGTGTGACAGCCAGAAATGTCTGCAGGCACTGCCAGATGTTTTCTGAGGGGCCAAATTGCCCCTTGTTGAGAACCATGAAGTTAAACTAGTAATGTCCTTCGTAGCTTTTTTTCTCTGATCCAGGATGGTAATACTTTGATAAAATAGACTCCAATGGAATATAGTTTATAGATTGCTGAGGAATTAAAGTTGAACTTGTGCTGTATTTCTTCAGCTAAGGGTGTGGTCTTTACTAAGTACATGTTTGATGAGCACATAGTTATTTGTGGGCTTTTGATCTTTTTAATTAAAAAATTGTTTTAGCATGGAAGTTTCTTATGAATAAGAATTACTTATGAATACAATTACTTAAAAAGGAAATTACTTGTGACTTGAAAATGTTAGACTGAAGAAAATGAAAAATCTAAGTAATGTATTTAGCCCTAAGCAGTAATGTGATATGGTTATTGATGTCAGATCATATCTTTAATTAATATATTGGTAGTTATGGAACATATTGGTAAACTAGTTAAAATAATTATAGATAAATTCTTTATGAAGTACTGGAATAGCACTAGGGTATATACATATATATATACACACACACAAACACAAATATGTGTTCTGAGGGCTTCCCTGGTAGCGCAGCTTGTACAGAATTCACCTGCAGTGCAGGAGACTGCGGTTTGATTCCTGCCGTCAGGAAGATTTGCTGAGAAGGGAGAGGCTGCCCACTCCAGCACTCCAGTATTCTTGGGTTTCCCTGGTGGCTCAGTTGGTTAAGAATCCACCTGCAATGTGGAGACCTGGGTTCAATTCCTTAGTTGGGAGGATCCCCTGGAGGAGGGCATGGCAACCCACTCCATTATTCTTGCCTGGAGAAACCCCGTGGATGGAGGAGCCTGGCAAGCTACAGTCCATGGGGTCACAAAAAGTCGGACACAACTGAGCGACTAAGCATAGCACAGCATGTGTTCTGGATTTTTTTCCCTTCACATGATAAAAAGGTGTCCTTTAAAACTGTTTTTGTTCCATTATGATTTTGTGTATGTGACTTTTAGAATCATAGTTCCAGTGATTGTGCTTATTTTTTATGAAATTGTTACTGCTACTTGTCATAAATCATTGCCAGAATCTCTGGATAACTGGTGAGAGGAAAAGAAGTAGAGAGAATAGATGCCTAGAAAAAACAAGAGAATAATACATTGCATTTGTTTTGTGTTCAGTCCCAGCTGAGCAGTAGCTCAAGTGAGTTGACCGGCAGTCCAAATTATACCCAGGGTAGCTTAGTAATTTTTAAGAGGAGCAGAGCATAATAGCAAAAATTCCTAGATAGTGATAATAATAAATTGTCTATTGGCAGTCTGCTAGTTTTCAGAATTTTGGTTGTTTTGAGATAGGTGCCTGATAACAGTGAACACCAAGGGGGAAGGGTCAATCCTTTCGTAGATAAAAGGGCTACAAGGTAGGTTGTCAAGTCACCTGCCAAATCGGTTGGGATTTAGAGTACGAGTGAAATGCCAGAGGGGAAATGGAATATTATATTTTAAAAAATGAGGTAAAAAGTCCAGTCTACCACATGGGGAAACTATGTACGTGGAGAAGACCATTGTTAATTGATTGTATAGTGGGTGCCATCATCCTTTTCTTTCCTGTAATTAGAACAGAAAGGCTAATTCTGTACTCTTAACCAGTAGTGAGAGTGGTTTGTATGTGTGTGATTGGCTCTAAAATTAGTTGGGACTGAGTCTTTAGGTTGGATGTCTTTGTACTTTTTTAAATGTAGTGTAATTAAGAACTAATGTGAAAAAAGCATCAACGATGTTAAACAATAGAGTGATTGAAAATATATTTGCACCATGTATGTCACATAGCTTATATTTGTGAAATACCAAGGGCTGTATTATATTAGTAAGATAAATAATGTGAATTCACAAAAGACCTGAACTGGTAATTTTCAAAAGATAGGCTACTTTTGGCTTTTAAGCACATGAAAATATGTTTACTGGTAATAAAGAAGTGAATGTAAAAACATCAATGTTTTATTTTCACTTGTCAGATTAGAAAACGGGGGAAAAATTGAGACAATAACTGTTGACAAGTATGGTACACTCGTACACTATTGGTGGGAATGTAATTGGTAAAACTGTTCTAGAAGGTTATTTGGCAGTGTGTATGAAAATTTGAACCACATGCCCTTTCATATAGCAGTCTAATTTTTAGTGAAATGATGTCACTGACTAAATATGAGAGAGAATTATGACAGATAATTACACAAATATGCATGGTTTGTAATGGTAGAAAATTATAAACAATACAAATGTTCTTTAATTGAGGATTAGTTAAATGATAGTTAATTCAAACACTGCGGCTGCTTTAGAATGCTATATGTGTATATATAGAGACAGATTTTCATTAGTTATTAAGTGAAAACAAGAACATATAGTATTAGCTCATTTAGCTTAGTTATTAGGTTATTCTGTATTTTAGTTCTAAAACTTTGTTCTTTTTCTTTTGCTGAGAGTTTATTTTTCATTTGTTTCAAGTTGGGTCATACTTGGTTGTTCAAAGCATTTTTATGACTGCTGCTTTAAAATCTTCGTCAGATAATTAAAATATTTTCCATCTTGGTGTTGGCATCTATTACCTTTTTCATTCAGCTTGAGGTCTTTCTGGTTTTTGGTACAATGAGTGATTTTTGATTGAAACCTGGACATATTGAGTATTATGAGATTGTGGATCTTACTTCAGTTTTCGGTTTTGGCTGGCTTCCGAAGGGGAGCATGTGCCACCTCCGCCCTGCCATTTGAGGGTGGAAGTAAATCCAGGTTCCCTGTTTGGTTTTCACTGATATCTGAGGGACGCTCCCTGTAATTGCTGAGTCAGTGTGTGTTCTGGCTCCTCACTAGGCCTCTACTGATGCTTCTCTGGCTAGGAGGGAAAGGAGTGCCCAGTCATTGCTCCCTGTGTGGTCCCACTGATGCTTCAGGGTTGGGGTGGGTTGTTATTTGTGGTCTGTTATTGCTTGGCAGATATGAAGGTCTTGGCTCTCTACGTGGCCTTCTCTGACACTCACCCATTGGATGGGGTTGAGGGTGCCTCATTACAGCCTGGTGAGGGGAGAGGCCTAGGTCTTTGCTAGTGTGGATGTGGCCACAGTGTTTCTGTGTTGTTTGGCTGGAGTAGAGCAATTATTGTCTAAAAGTTTTCTGTGTTGCTAGGCTGTCTCTTTTCTGATCCTCAGCTAGAAAGAGCAGCTCATTGGAGCTTTTTCTTTTCTTTTTTTTTGTCTATACCCGTTGCTGTTTCTGGGTTACTAATTTGTTCAGCTTTATGTTTGGATTATATGAGATTAAAAAAAAAATCCAGGGAGCTCTCAACCGCGTGGTTCACTGAGTCCTGGAGTCTACTTTTCTCCACCTTTTAGGACTTTCTTATGTTTATTTTCTATGCAGCGATGGGGTTTTTAGTTATACTTAGGGATAAAGTATGTGTCTATTCCACTTTCCTGGAAGCAGAATTCCTACCACTTACTTTTTAAAATTTATATCTGTCTGGTTATGTAAGAATAAAATCTGTAATACACAACAAACTGTTAATCAGTGGTTATCTTTGAGAAACTAGGTTGAAAAGTTTCATTTTGTCTTAAAAAAAAAAATGAATGCTCTCTTGTTGTCTTAGATACAGACAATACAAATGTATACGTGAAAGTGACAGCTCATTTCAGTAGTCTGTTTTGCCCTGACAAAGTTTTGTGTGAAGCTTATTACCTTATTACTGTGCATTTCTATACATAAATGTAAGTAGGTAGTCCTGTGGTTAATGTTGTTTGTTTTAGTGTAAGTGAAGTGCCATCATTCTGTCTCTTTCTCTTCTAAGTCTTGGCATTTTCAGCTGGAAAGGATTATGTGGCTGGAAATTGCAATCATAAGTCTCTAAATGATTCAAGGGCTCTTTGTATCTCATTC